AACTGTCAACATATGAATAAATTCTTAAAATTAAATAATTTTGAACATCGTTTCATTTTATTCCCTCCAGGATTTTGTGACTGTTTTGGGGATTTAAGTCAAATAAACCTGATGAGTGAGTGTTAGAAGTAAGAAATACTGCCACCTGCAGGTTTGGAGTATAAAGTCACTTGGATCCAATATTTTCACCATTTTGCCAAAAATCTTCAATAAACTGACAATAAAACATTATGTGAAAAAGTGCAGGGATTTGTTGATTTTTTAAAATTATTTTTTAAAATGAATTTCCACAATAAACAGATAAAAATTGCTTTGATTTGATCAATAAAGCAATATCTGTTATATTGACGATTGTATTTATATGTTGCTTTAGAGCGCATGTGTCAAACCTAAGGCACGGGGGACAAATCTGGCCCAACACAGCTATTTATGTGGCCCTCTAGACTCTAAATTAGTCCCTCCAATTTCTTGAGAATTATTGTGGAAATTTATGCGAAAATTAACAAATCATACTACTACATGATTTGTAGTATTTTTTCATACTACTACATAATTTAGCTTATTGAAGATTCTCGGCAAACATAATGAAAAATATTAGATCCAAGTAACTGCTTACTCCCACCTGCAGGTGGCAGTATTTCATACTTGTATCTATGCCTGTTGCGATAAACAATAAATCAATTAATCACATGATAAATTAAAACTATAGACCTCATTTCAATTATCGGCTTTATTGTATATATCTGTCCTTTTCTCTTTCTGTTGATGACACTGAATGAAAAAAGGTTCAACGCCGATGCTCTCCACTGGCCCTCCCGTCCTCATTTCCTTAATGCCCAGCGCACACTACATGATCTTAGAGCTGTCGGCCGATTGTCGGCCCATTTTCAAAACCTGAGAGACCACACACTCGCCGACAGAAATCCTAGATCTAACGGTTTGATTGAACCGTGTGGTGTCCGACAGTGGGCACAAAATAATAAGTCCAGTTGACTAATTTTAAAACCATGTGGCTAGTGTCAGTCCTGTCTGAATGAAAATCATTATGACCTATTTATGTCACTTTAACAAAGAACACCTGAAAAGTTACCGGGTTAATCAACTGCGGAAGCAATTGATAAACGATAAATGACTTAATTTTAAGAATTTATTTATATTTTAACAGTTCGTTGATGAGTTTAGCAATACATTCTGGCCAAAACTCATTAACCGGCCCTTTAAGAACATGAGCTTCATTTGGCCCAGAATGAAATTGAGTTCGACACCTTTACAGTCCATAGGGCCACATAAAGAGCTACAGCGGGCCAGATTTGGTCCTTGCGCCTGCAGCTTGACGTGTCATGAGCATTTAATGTTTTTTTCTATGACATTATTTAAACAGCAGCAGGTGGACCAAAACGACAGTATAACAACCAGGTGAGAATCGAGACACAATAACATCTTAATCATCACAGTTCCCTTCATGATTACTGGGAATAAAATCTGTGTTTTCCTCTGCAACACACCATTAACGTCCTGCCACTGCAGCTGAGACCAGAAGAAACTGGAAGCTGAAGAAACATCATCGTCTCCACCATCATCATGGAAACCATGTTAATGACCTTGGAGTTGGAATCGATCCACATGTGCAGGCGACTAATTAGACAAACAAATGGCAATTAGACGGGAGTCCCATAATCCACTTAACAACCAGGCGAGTGGAGACGAACCAGTGCATCGAGGCGTTGTCATAAATCTCTCTGCGAAACATTACGGTTGATGGAGAAATTACTCTTCAACTGTTCTAGTGGGATTTTAAACAGCCAATTTTTTGTAGGAGGAAATGGAATCAAAATGTCAAACACTGTTGATGTTATTTGCGTTTCTCTGAGTCCTGGAGGCTTTCATTGACCAAGAAGAAGACCAATTATACTCGGCATTTAAACTCTTAATTCCAACTTGGATTTTGTAGGCTGGTTTGTGCAAAGAAATTGATTGAATGCAAGCCAGAAACAACTTTCAGGCCTTTTAGTCTGTAGTGACAGTTTCCTGAGCCATGAATTAAACCTTTACTTCCTTTTTTTCCCAAAAGCTTTCCCAGTGCCTGACAACAGCTGCTGCTAGAGAAAGTCATTTGCTCCTTGGAGAGACATTTCTTTGCAAAACAAAGATGTCTTTTCCATTAAATTTTTCCGTCAGTTAGCTCTGTTCAGTCCAGTTAAATCAAACTCCATTTTGTTTGCCTAGAAAGAGCAGCTCGCTTGGGGAGGTGTGAATGTGTAATCAAACTCTGAGGTGGACCAAAAAAGCAAACTCTGCTCTGCCTAAAACTTTGTGTTCCACTGGTTTGATGAGATGCAAACCGTCTGAAAGACAATCAGTTTTTTCCCCAATGTTCACGGTTTTATTTGCCCAGCAGTCATGTTACATTTGGTGAGTAGAAAAAGCCTTTTTTCCTGGCATTCTTCCCAAACAATCTTCTGGCATCAGTTATAACACATCTCACAATGAGCTCTTTAGATTTCTCTCTTTTTTACCTCTTTCCACTCCGTTCGCTACGGTTGGTGCCAAAATTAAGTTGGAGTTTTGTTCGTCGGTGTTTGTCACAGCTGAAGTTGCTGTAAATTTTTAATTGTGGCTCCAACTGTAGACAATAGGCATGTTTAGGTGATCAGCTACTTTCTTGAAGTAATCTTCTGGCTTATGGCATGTTCTCAGTATGGCAAAGTGATCAAAACGGCATCTGGGAAATGTTATTTGTATCATAAAAGGTACAAAGTCGTCAATTTTATATTAAATCTTCTTACTCAGAAAAGGAACACATTTTGGTTAATATACAATTCTGATATTATTTTAGTTTTGTTCTGGCTTATTTTGATGTCTTTTGGAGTTTCATCTGTATATTCTGACTTTGACTGGTTGACTTAAATGGAGAATTAAGGATTTTAAAATTTCACCTCTGTTGGTCTCTTTTTTCCGGAGGATAACGTTGGTGGTTTTATCTTCGTCTGTTTCACCCCTCAGTTCGGGGAAGGGCCTTTCAGTGAGAGCCTCCTGCTGTGCTTTGCTCAGTGAAGATGGCACCGCCTGCTTTTTAAGATCACAATGTTATCCGTGGATCATACTTCCATCTGCGGCTGGGAACAGACGGTGGATTGTAGGAGGAGTCGGGGAGAAAAAACACCATCAGTTCAGAATACGGACACATTTCCAGAGGTTTCACTCTGAATACAGGACCTCAGTTCCTCACTTGGCATCAGTTGCCTTCAGCAACAAGGCAGTTCAAAGTGCTTTATGTCATAAAAACATAATACAAAGTCATAAAAGATCATTGTTAGACATCAAAATTTTGGTCATTGTTTTATTTATTATGGTTGGAAAGCAACACAGGTGGCTTTTTAGTCTAGATATAAAGGATCTCAGAGTCTTTTTGTAAGTTTTTTCCAGTTTTATTGTGAATAGAAGCTGAAACATGCGATCAGCGGAGGAGAAAATGCTCAAACGCTGTTCTTCAAAAATAAAATCTGAATGTGCAAAATTTAGATTTTGCACATTTTTGTACTTCTTTTTGGGTTTCCACTGCTTCTAAAAAGAGCACTAGATGTTTTCTGACTATCAGTGAATGTTTTTTTTGGCTTCTGGAAAATGTTCAATTAAAAAAAAAAACATGTGAAACTACAAATCAGCAGGCACTGCCCGTTACCTAGCAACACAAGTCCCAGTACTTTTGGTCAGCTGGTTTTAAAGCTGTATGTGCTGTACAATGGCTGTTGGACAAAAGAAGAGTTTTGTTGTTGATTTACCATCAAGTAACTTTGTGCTACATTCTTGTTGGTTGTGCAGGAGGCTCTACTTCTTCTTTTCAAAGATGTATGGTCACTGTTTGCAGCAATTTTCACATGTGAGTGTAAGCATTGACTTGTTTTCTGTCGTCTTCTTCTTTGTGGTTTGTGCCAATGGCAACACCTGGTTGTTGAAATGTCAAATTGCTCACTTCTAATATCCACGGAAAAGCATAAAATGTGAGTTTCAGTGAAGGAGTTGAAGTGTGCGATCCCAGGTCAGCGTGATGTCATCGTCTCTTGCGGCTCCTTTTCTTCTTCATGTGATTTGGCTCTCGTCGCTCAGCTGTTGCTGTAATTATGCCTCACATACGTAGATCTCTCCAGGGAAACCTTTAGGAGTCGTGACGACGTCTCCAGTCTGAGAGCTTCTGCCCCCTTTTTCTAACCTTTTCTTTTTGTTGCTGCTTTTCTCGGTTTATTTAACTCCTTGCAGCAGGTTCTTCCTCATCCTTTTTCTTCGAGGAAACAGTTTCCTGGCCGGCTCTAAGACCCATTTGAGAATGGAGTGAAAACAGGAAACGGACGAGGAGTGAATTGCTAATGGGGTTTCTTTTATTTATATTTCCCTCTGGCCCCACATCAGCTGGCTGTCAGAGCACTCCTACTCCGGATTTCCATATTGACAGGAGCTTTATCCACTCCTCCTTTTTAAACGCTGTGTAAGTACCTTCAGGAGAAACAAATGGACTCTGAGAGGGGTTGGACTGAACAAGTGAAGGCCCTTGATCCTGATGTAATTAGGTCAAGCATTTAGGAAAGATGTCATCCATTAGTCTCGGTTCAGAAAGAGGAAGAACAATGATTAAGATCTTCTCTCCTTTTTTCTTATTGATTCTTTCCTCTCTGCTTTTTTTCTTTTTTCACCCTAAAGATTCAGAGTTGCTTCCTAAATATTGTACTTTCTCTCCAGTAACTCTTTTTCTCCTCTGTCCAAATATTTTGTCAAAATCAAAACGTTGAATCTACCTATGAGGCCGCAAAGTATTTCAAGGCAAACTAAAGTAAAAATGAAAATCATTGGCGATGCTAACCGGCTCACAGTTTCAGACTGTTTTAGGTTCTCGTGTTTAAGTGCACGTACTTTGGACACCCCTGGTTTAAGAAGCAGTAGCAGACGAGTAGAAAAGTGCATCTTTTGAGCGCTCTGCCGCAGCCTGACTCTCCCTCCCTCCTCAGGTGTAATGAGAGCGCTGGTCATGGACAGATGATGGACGTGGAGACGTCGTACTCGGATTTCATCAACTGTGACCGCACAGGCCGCCGGAACGCCGTGCCCGACATCTCAGGGGAGGGGACGGCCACGGCGAGCACGAGTGAGCTCACCAAAGACATGGCAGAGATGGATCTGAAGGCTGCAGGTGGGTGGAACCGGAGATGTGCATCCAGTGCCAGGAAGTACGGTTTCACTTACAGCTGAGGAGATGAAGCTGGAAATGGAAAGTAAACCGGTTTTTCACAGGGTCTGAGTTTGTTTAAATCAAAGTAGAAATGGGAAAATCTGGAAGACACTAGAACTTAATGCAATCACCTTTGAACACGTAGCATCATGTATAGTACATTTCATTAGGCCTGTCGCTATGTTATATTTTACTGGATGACAGATTATCCCAGAAGTTACTGCGACAAACAATAATGTTGTTGGTTTTGACACCAGTTTCAATTAATATCATGGTAATGGCGTAATAACTTATGTTGTAAAATAATCAACATCTCCAAACCTGATTCCTGCAAAACCAAAAATGTCTGCAAGACATTTTCTTTTTTTTTAAGTAATGTTTTGCACATTGCTCTCATTTTTTGCTCATTTTTCTTACGGTTAAATTTAATTGTGCATCTTAGTGCCTAAGTTGTTTTTTATCGTACCTGTAGCAATAATTTATCTTTTTATTTTACATCCGAAAAGGCTTCCTTCCATTTTAACTGCAGTGTGTACAGTTTTTAAATCCCCTGCAGCAGTAGTTCTGGAAATCACAACATTTATTTTAAAAAATAAAGATCAGAGTTCTAATTATGGGCTTTTCCACGTTAATCACAAGGCACACACTCTTTCATAAAATTAAATTATGGGTAGAACTCAGAAATGTTGAGCTTTGGCACCATAATAATGTGCCTGCAGTGTTTTGCAACAGGGTAAAGATGGAGTATTTGTGTCTGCTTGACCAGCAGTATCCAGAATGTTGGTAGGTTTTATGTCTAAATTCCTTTTTTTCTGCAGACAGTGGAAGATTATTTGAGCTCTGTGTTTTCAGTGAGGAGATCAGGCAGATTGTTCTGTATCTACATCACAACAATAAAGGACAAAATCAAGAATTGAAGACGTTTTCACGTATACTGCAGTATCAATTAATAATTCATTTGTTTTCTTTTCCAAGGTGGAATGATGATGCTACATGCACTCGCTATGGATTTTTAAAGAATAATTGGTTGCACCAGTGTGAATCACTAAACAACAAATGTGTTCATTTATACAACACCCCTTTTAATATTTGTGTAAATATTCCTTAGAATGTCAAAGAGAAATTACACAGTTTTGTACCAATTTAGATGTGGATATTAGTTCGCTATTTTCACAGAATTGGTAAAATTAATTAAATTACTTGCTCAGCCTTTAATGTTTATAATATTGTTGTGGTCAGAATCATACAAAAATCTTGATTATCAATCATTTTAAAACCAACATGGATGTGTGGATAGTAAAGTTATTCACCTGACTCAAAACATTCATACTTAAATGACTTCAAATCTCTTCAGTTCAGGAATAATCAGTGGTGAAAAGCAAGTCCTGCTAATCATAACCACTAGTTTAGCTAAAACCAACATGGTGTTTAGCACAAGCTAATGCTAAAGTGCTAAATTGAGCCATGTTGATACCCACCATGTGTCAACGACTCAACATGTTTTTAACGTATAGTATTACGCCCCCAACAGGGTGAAATTTGTCATTGCACACCTACCTACATGCTGTTTGTGCTTCAGAAACTTATGGTTTCAGTTTTATAGTTGCTGATTATTGCTAGCTTTGTTGCTGATTTTGCTTAATTGAACATGGCTGATCAGTGGATTTCAAACTAATGCATTCTGGGAATAAAATAAACATAATTTTCTGGTTTTAGAATGGAGGACGTGAGGCTAGAAAGAGGTCTATACCCACTTCAAAATAAGAGCCTGAATATAAATATTTAGTTGATTGAAGAATCCTTTACAGCTAGAACTAATACTTTAACACAAATGATTAACTTTATTAAAGTGAAAGTTTACAAAACAGCCATGTAAATTATGAGTAAATTAATTTAGAGGAAGCTAAGTGTGCTAAACATTTTAAAAGTTAATAAAAAAAATTAAAAAAATATCTGCACTTATTACCCCCAAATGAGTGTGTTTTAATCTTCTGGCTATGGAAATGTAGCCTTTTTTTTCTGATACTTTTCTTCTTAGTGGTTCCTCATAACCCTGCAATAATGTAAACCTGAATTTGAATTAATTTGACTCTTAGAGTCCTACTTAAATCCAAAAAATACCACTTCCTGCTGTGGCTAGCTTTGCCTAAACTTTAATTGTCCACCATTAGATGTAGGCGTTTAGCTTGTGCCAGTGCCAGATGTATAACCTCCATTTTCTTCATGATCATTACAGTTCTTCTGTGTCCTAATAATAGAAAGTGTGCAGGTGAGCGGCTGAACTTGGAGTGGTTGGCACCAACAACCCGTAGCTCATGCAGGTGTTTGGTTTCTCAGCTGTGGGATTTCTGTGTTAAATGAGCCGGAACAGCAGCAGCAGACACAGCCCTCAATTATTCTTCATAATGGCGTCTGGTTCCCTTTCATATTACTCAAATCTTTCCGCTCTGATGCATTTTTCATTGTATTACCGGGAAATGACTTCCTTTTTAGTTGTAAAACAGTGACCCCTGACCTGCAGAGATAAGACCTACTCTGGTGAGAGAAGGACCTCTTGGGAACAAACTCATGTCAAGGCTTTATCAATACCTAAGTAATATATTATTCTGACATTTAATAGATTTTTCTGATGATTAATTGATTAAATCAATTAAAAAATGGCCACATTCTGCATGATATATTTGTTTAATTATATATTTTGTACAGGTTTAGATTGTCTGCTTTGAGTATGTTGTTGTTTGAGTAAGTGACCTTTTTTAGCCTGTATGCTCCAATAACAAATAATTGATTATTAGTTGGTAATTATTTCAGTAATTGATTAGTTATGATTAGTCATGATTAATCTGATATTTTATACAGTTTTGGCTTAATTACTGCTTTAGGAATGTTGTTGTTTGAATAAGTGACCTTTTCTTCAATCTGTATGCTCCGGCCAACAATCGATTACAAAATTAGTTGCCGATTATTACAATAATCGATTAGTCATGATTAATTCAATCAATCATGATTGATTTGATTAATCAGCCCTAGTTGCTGTAGGAAGTTTTTCTTTTCTTTTTTTAACAGAATTGTCATTTTTTCCCCCCTGAATGAGTCCTATAAACATTTTCTCTCCGCAGAAGGAGACCCGGGGGCCTCCCCGGCTCCGGAGGCCGAGGGCTCCACAAGCCAAGACGCCCAGGGCGGCGGGGGCCCGTCCTAAAGGCAGCAGGAGACAGAAGTGGCGTGGAGAAACGCAGAGAGGGAAATGAAGAGGTGGAACGCTAGCCGTCCTTTCTGGAGCTGAGGACACTTTCATTCACTGCCGGCCTGTTTGGAGCTTCCCTCGTCCCAAATGTCGCCCACTTCTTTCTTCTTTCTTCTTTTTTACCGGACCAGATAGCAACATGGCTAAGAGAACTGAGTGGAAGTGGAAAATGGGATCCTTTGCTTTATACTCTGTAAGTCATTTGTATTTCCTGACAGGATGAGGAAGCACAGAAACTTTGGATTAATGCCTGAGGAGAAGAACTGAGCTAAACAAAATTATTTATAACTAAAGTCAACGCTCCGGCCTAGAATGGAACTGTGTCATGGATTCATTATCATCCGTTTGTCGTTCTCTTTTCACGTCTGTGTGCGTTTGTGACTCTCTTGTTCAAATTTTTTTTCTAGTATCATCTCCATTTTACTGTCAAGTAAAGACTTCATATTTATTGCTAAATGTTAAGTGATAACTTTGTGATAGAACTATTCTTTGTGTAATAAAATACTGATGAATTACTGTAACATTTGTATGTTTCTAAGAGACAGTAACGTTCTTAGACTAGGAATCCATCCGGGTTGTGGGTTACAGAAGGCTGCAGATCTGGGAGCAGTGAAAGGCCGTGTTAATTAGATACATAAATATTCCTGAACGCAGCTTGTTGTGTACATGAAGATGGTGTTGACATTTCCATCCGGCATGGCTGCCGTGTTTGTCGCTATGCACAATGTCGAAACAGACGTTTGTACAACGGTGTGTTAAGGACATTGTAGGTCAACAAAATAAGTAAAAAAAACAGAAACTTTGATTTTTCTAAAGTTGAAAATGTTTTAAAGTTCAGACATTTCTTTTCTAGAATTTTTTTGAAAGAATTCAGACATTTTTTTTTCAGTGTATATATGTATGTAATTGTTTTTTCTAGAAAATTTTAGTTTTTAGTTTTCAAGCATTTTTTTTAACTTTTCAAGCTCAGAAATATTATTTTTTCTAGAAAATGCAAAATATTTAATTTTTGAAGATCAGAAATTTTCTATTATAAAATTTCCAAGAATAATTCCAATTTTTGAGTTTTTTTAGTAGAAATTTACTTTTTGTGCATCTATAATGGCTCTAATACACCACCATACAATCCTTTGCTGAAATAGTATGAATTTTAACAATCAGATGTGAAAAAATTTCAAAAGTAGAAGAAAACTGTCTTAAATGGCTTTTATTGTAATAGCAGATTTTTTTATATATATAAGAGCTATAAATGAGTGCTGACAAATAAGCGCTTTTCTTTTCTAGTTAAATGAAAATATTTTAGACATTTGCATAAAAAAAGGAAAACATTAGGCTGTGCTTTTTCCGCTTGGGTGACATCGCGTTGCCACCTAGCGGACACACATAAGACTGCACTTTTGGTATGGAGCTCTTTTCACCTGCTTGTTCTCCAGGGGCCAGATGCAGAAACATGGGGTGGAAAAAAGAAACGAGCATCTTTTCTTTTGAGAATGAGAAACGGAACAAAAAACAAAAAAAAAAAAAAAAAAAAAAAAAAAAAAAAACACAAAAAAGATTAACCACAAAATAGAATGAGAAATGAAAATATTTCTTATTTATATGCATTTCTTTTGCTAAAGCATCTTAAATGGAAGAATAAATATCTAAATTTGTTTTTTCTTCTTGTGCTGCTGTTATTTTTTCATAATTTCTACTAGTCTCTTAGTAAAACTGGATGGCAGATTCAATAAACCATTTATTCATCTCATGCAGAAAAAGCAGGAGACATAGTTTATTAATGGAACCATTTTTTATTTTCATTTCGACTCTGAAGAATAATTTGCTTTACTTTCTTCCAGTTTGGCACCAGTCATTTTTATTCATGAGTGCAGCAACATTATTTATGTTAGAGATTCTCCTAGAATTAAAGATGGAAGTGGGAATAAAGTTAATGTGTCTGCTTTACGTCTCCCACTGACTAATAGTTAGAAAACTGTAATCATCCATGTTTTCTTGAATGTTTCATGCATCTGGTCCCGGGTTTGTTTCATGTGGAGAGCAAAAAGCATCAACTGCTTATGCGCATGTTTTCTCATATTCTGCTCTTAAATCAATTAATTTTTCCATCATATTTTAGCATCGCAATTTACCTCTACAGGATGTAAACAACAAAAAGCAAGCCGGCATCTATAGGTTGCATACATTTATGAATATCGCATAACTCTGCGTTTTAAAGCTCGTCTTCATAACAAAAACATGTAAACTCAAGATGAGATGATGAGACGACAACCCTCGGATGTTTCTGCACCTTCCAGAGGAATGTAGCCTCAAGTGGATAAGAGCTGTTGAGTTTTGAGATGAAACTAGATGACGAGGGGAAGTGAAGTGGTCGCCAGCTTGTCTGATGTTCTCCAGGCTTCGTGTCGGTTCACACAGAAGTGAAACCACATTTCTTTGTGTCGTTGGGAGCTGGCTTAGAGGGCGGTGCTCTGTATCATCCCGTACGCTTCGTACAGTTTGTGGAGAAGCTCATTTTTCTCCTTCTCTGGGAGGAAGCTCGATTTTGCAGAGTTGATGTTCTGCGAGACAAAACGACAAAGTTCCCATTCAGTAAGCACTGAGCGTTCCCTCCTGCTTGGCTCAGGATGATGAGAGGAAATGGATTTCAGCTTCTTTAGCTCTTTTTCTAATCAAATGGATTGGTTAAGTGATTATAAGTCAGTGTGAGCAACTCAATATAAATTTTTGGCTTTTCTCTCTTTCTACCAAAACTGATCTTCCGTCTTGTGTTTCAACTATCCTTTTTGTTTTTAAGACTGTTTTGTTTACAGATATATCTCTGGTTAAAATAAAATAAATTAAAAAGCTGTAAATCTACAACAAAAAATTAAATTAAGGCAGGTGGTCGGTCAAAGTTCAGATCTTAACTTTAATGAATTGCTGCAGTTAGACCTTAAAGGAGTTATGCAGAAATCTGCAAAACCCTTGAATTGTTTTGGCCACTTTACAGAAGTGAAGCGCAAATGTCATCAGTAACAGTCAGGATATTAATTTATTTACATGTTGGTATTTAATATAATCACTTACCTTTAATGGAGCTGGTGAGCAAATCTAAGGTTAAGGTTGAGCTATTCAGGCTTTGAGGTGACTCGATTGTGCAAATCCAAAGGCCAGTTTTTTTCTCTACGGTCTTATGCAAGGCCATGTTTCATGCAAACCTGCTTTGTTGTTTTTCTAAGTGGAATTAAGAGTTTTTGCTGGATAAAAGGAGTTGAATTGTTAAACAGAACTAAGATGGAATATTTTTCAGAGTAAGGCTTTGTTCTTGTTCAAATAATCAGCGATAAAAGGCAAATAGATGCCGTGTTCTCCTTTCTAGCCTCATTTAAACGGCTTCTCCCTGTGATCTGGTGCTATTATTAAACTGCATTTGATCTCACCAGCCGTTTGAATTCCTCCTCCGTGAATCCCATGTGTTGGTGCACAATGCTGTAATCGAGTAGCAGGTTGGAGTTGAAGATCAGAGGGTCGTCTGTGTTCAGGGAGTAGTTAGCCTTGTCCTTTCGAAACCTGCAGAAGCAAAATAAATTTCGGTTTTATGAACCTTTTTGTTTTAATCTATACTTCAATGTGAGGGGAAAAAAAACTCACGTTATGATGGGGTGTTGGGTAAAGTCTGAGTTGCAGGCTCCTGTCAGCTTACTGGAAATAGGACACATCTGTAAGAAGAACCTTTCATTTAACTCATGTCTCCACCAGAGGGCGCAATATCTCCACTTCCATGGGGAGTTCACCACTACAATGACTAAAACTACATTTAATAATCAGGAGGAAATACTTTCAGGATGCTTACATAAAGTATAAAGGATTTGGGACATGCAAAGAAAAAAATACAATAAAATTATGAGAATAAAGACAAAATAATTTGAGAGTATGGTGATAATATTATGACTTTATTTTTGAAATAATATGATATTCTCAAAATATTACATCACAGTATTCTGATTTTATTCTTGAATTATTAAGCCTTTATTCTCAAAATATTCTGACTTTATTCTTGCAATTTTATTTTTTCTTATCGCGGCCATAATATGCCATCATAAATACAAGAGAATAAAATAAGTACTTTGTTTTGATGGAAAGGCTTGAGGTTGGTGGTTTACCTCAAAGTGCATGTTTTGCTCTAGCAGTTTTCTGTACAGGGCTGAGTCCTGAAGCGTGTTGTAGCCGTGTCCGATTCGTTCAGCCTTCAGTTCTTCAACAGCCTGAAACACCAAATCAACGTGCAAAAAAAAGTTCAAAACAACTTTAACCTGATATACTCTGATCACTTCAGTTTTGATAAATTCCTGATTTACTTGAGATCAGTTTTTTTCTAGCTATAGGTAATGGGGGCTGGATTGGCAGGGGCTGCTAGGTACCGGGGCAGTTCCTGCTGATTTGTGACATTACATAAGGAAGGGTTTTGAAACGGCTAATTTTCCAGACACTAAAATATATTTTTAAAATGCGCCACCTGTTTTTAAAAGCAGAAGAAACCCAAATGGAAATAATAGTAATAAAAAAAACATACAAAATGTGAAATTCTGATTCTAGGTTCCCCTTTAAAGGAAGCTTGTAAAGGCATGACATGATCATAAGCCTTAATTATTTAAAGGCATTAATGTCTGAATTTGAAGGAAGTGGTTAAAAAAGCCCCTCTGATTATTCTGTCATGTGGAAAAAACTGAATATCCGGTTTCACCTGTACATTTCATTTACTCCCAGTTTTATCTTCACCACCTCACAGCAGGTAAAGTTTGGAAATTTTCCCCTTTCTTCGTTGCCTCCATGTTGCTTCTTTTTTAAGATATTCACACATCAGGACAGATTAAACTTCTTCTGCAGGTTCAGAGTCCTGTATTGTTGACCAGCTTCCTCATTGTTGAAACAAAACACATTCAGTCGATCGCTTCTCTTGTTCTTCCCAGTTTGTTCTCTGCTCTGCTTGTTGTGCTTGGCTCTTTGCCCTCATCTCTATTGTTATGC